TTTTTTTAATTATTACTTTTTTTCCCCTCCACAGTACACAACCTATGCAGCCATTAAAATAGTTCAGTTTTGTTTTTAATGGCAAAGTGGTTATATTTATTTTCATTTATTTATTAAGTTAATTTAGAAAAATGTTTTGAGCATTTTTTGTTTGTTAAATTAAAGTGTTTGTTATTTAAAGTGACGACCAAGCGGCCAGCAGCCAATAGTGAGTTGACAACATGTTCTATCAATTTAGCCCCTCGGATCAACACTTGACTTGCCTACAATAAATATAAATATAATGTAATGTTTTATACAATAGATATAAAACACTTCAAGAATATCACAATGTTAATTTAAATATTATCATTAGGGCTACACAATCTAAATAAAAAAAAAAAACATGCAGGTTGTCTTACCTTACACCTAGGCTATGCATCAAACATCAAGGCTTCAACACAGGGCATGACTATTCTTATTTTCAAGAGTTTCCAACAGTTATACTAATAAAAAAAGTAAAATCCCAAACGAAATGTCCTCTTACTGCATGACACGGAGGCGCTGGCGTGATCACTGGCATTTTTTCCTGTGCTAACAGTGGAAACAACTTAAAATACGTCGTCATTTTTGCTCAGATAAGAGTAACACATCATTCATCACCCTGTAAAAGCTTTTATTTGTGTATACTCACGATATCAACAAAATGTTGTGCTTTTGTAAATTAAAGACAGCTAACAGGATACGCTTTATGCCTCTCGTCTCCGTGAACTGGAGCGCGTCACAAAAAATGAACCGAAACATAGTGTATAGGGTGCTTGCCTAAATGACATGAGAAATATATCTATAGAGATATTGAAATGTCTACTTTAAAACAAACCAATTCAAATCAAAAACAAGAACACTCTCATTATGTAATCCATATGAAAATGCTCTCTAAAGGCGCATCACTGTCCTGCAGAGATAGTGAGTCAGCATCGTCAGCTTTATCTTTGGAGCTGACACTGAAAGAGAAAACACTAGTTTATTAATAAATAATTAAAATATCTCCTTACTATTTCTTTTCCCTGACATATTCATACTCATTACTTTTGTCGGTGCTTTGCAGCAAGCTATATTCATTATGGTACATATTTAAGTAATTAAAATAAATATAAACGTGTGATTAGTTGGCTTAAATTAACAACTAGTCGACTAGAAAAATCTTTAGTCTGGGCAGCCCTAGTTTTAATCCAGTCCTTCTTTCTTCTATAACAATTCCAGCTGCACTGAAGGCACGCTCGCTGCTCCTGCTGCTATAGGTAGAAAGTATGAAGAGTGGACACCTGCACACCTGCAGGTAACTAATAAAACTTTGTGCTCTGTTAAACGGTCAGACTCACCTCTGAGCACAGGCAGGAGTGAGTGGTCCTTCTTGTTGTCGCATTTGTTGCACTCACTGAAGTACAGCAGCAGGAAGACGTCCACTAGCACCCAGACCAGAGAGGTGGTCAGCACCACCTTACAGTACACAAAGCGTCTCATGAGCCCCTGCTGGCGTCAGGACCTCACAGATGGACAGATGAGAGGGACACAGGAGATGGGGCAGGGGGCGATGTGACAGGACACATGCTGAGACGGCATCCCACTGAAGGATGACAAGAAAGGCATAAATATTAGTTGGATCCTTCTTTGCAAAACTCAGACCACACTATTAATTTAGTCTTTAGAAAAGATTCATACCAAAACATCAAACTGAGTTAAAGACCAAGTCTGATCAGTATAACAGGCAGGTCTGATATAAACCCTGATTCTCTTTTCAGAGTCATGTATCTACTCATTGTAAAAGTCGGATGTTTTAAAACTACTCTCATACAAATAATTTTTCTCTATAGAGTATGCAAGTACTTGTAGCCATGAAAGTTTGAGTTCAGAATTCAAAAAGCACTGCATGTTTTGCGATTTGCATTCCAATTTCTCTCTGGTGAACTATTACAGGGGTCAAGATTTGGCTGGTTAACCTGCTAAAAATGCTGTGATTACTATGGTCTTTCAAAACTTTGACTTTTGAGGGCCATTACATAATAATAATAATAATAACAATAATACCTCTGTCTACCTAAGTAATATTGCAATTGGATTTAAAAGTAATTATATCACCCCTTGTACTTAAGTTAGTTACCCCCACAGTAACACTGCCTCTACATTTTTCCAAAAACGTAAATATTCATTGCAGTTTCAAGCTGAAATGACCACTAGAGGCAGTAAAAAAACAACAACAAGCTTTATTCCTTTGCAGATTTGTGCAGATTATCACTTTTACCATAGTGCATGATTTGTAAATGAATACATTTTGACATTTGCATCACATATGTAGCTTTTCTGACGTAGTAAACTTGCTCGGTAGCTCACCTGGTACAGCATAAACCTATTAGCGCCACTTACGGGACATCGTGGTATTGATATGCAAAAATGGACTTTGGCGTGCATATGATACGCATCTGTTTGGCGTGCATATAATACGCAGTTTTCTCGTGCATATGATACGAAATTTGTTGGCGTGCATATGATACGCAGTTTTTGTTTTTATTTTATTTATTTTATTTGACATCAAGGTGTGCCTCCAAGCTTTCTTACTCGTTTTGCTAATAAACATCCTACGTTTCTTATTTATTTGGTTATATATTATATATGTTTACTTAGCCTATTTCCAGTTTTGTATACCTATTTAAACTTTATGTAAGTTATTTGTTATTTTATATTAGGCATAGCCTGCCCTATAGCATGGTGTATTTGTATTTGTTTTGTTAATAAAAGTTCTATGTTTTATATATATACGTTAAAGTGATCTTGACGTTGTATTTTGTTGTTGCATTCAAGCAATTGACGCCGAATTGCCGCTAATTCGAAAGTGAAAGTAAAATGCGCACAGTGCTTTTTCAAGCTATTTAAAAGTGACGGAAAGCAAGAAAAAGAGGGAAAATTCAAACAAACTAAAAATGAACAATTGCTTTACGCCGAATTGCCGCTATTTCAAAGTGAAAGTAAAATGTGCACGCCGCTTTTACAAGCTATTTAAACGCCCCGTCCCCACGGTGATACCGGTATTACCGGTTTTGTCACACGTCGATTAACCGGTGGGAAAATTTCCTCACCGTCACAACCCTACTTCCAATGAGTCTGAGAATTAACATTCTTAAATATGTTTGACAACACACCATGTCTGCCAGTGTAGCTTCACAAGATACAAGCTACCCATCATTTATCGTACCAACAATCTACCCTAGCTAATATGGAGAAAGAAAGAAAAAACTGATTCTATAAGAAGATAACAATTGTAAAATTGTACAAATTAAATAGGACTTTCCAATGAAAGCATGTGTGTGAATCTCATATACAATAAATTGGTTCGACTTAAAACAGTAAACATCTTTAAACTTTGCTTGGACTCCAAATTAGACTAAATATGGAAGGTTTATCAAAAGTTAATTATATTTGATTATTACTCCAGGTATCTTAGCTGTAAAGTTGCAAACCCTTCGTTATAAACAACAGCAATGTAGCATTTAGTTACGCTACACTAACACTACTTAATGGGCGGAAAAAGTTGCTCAACACTAGAAACGTCTCGGTTACGTATGGTAACCCTCGTTTCCTGAAGGAGGGAACGAAGACGTCACTTCGGATGACCGGCGAATTGGGATCTCGCTTAGAGAGACCAATCTACTTTGAGTGTAAACTAAACGAGCCAATGCACATTGGCATGCGATTATTGCATCCAGCTGCTGCTGATCACAGCGTGAGTATAAGTAGGCAGCAGATGCAGCGCATATTCAGGTTTTCGCTGAGGAGCCGAGCCGGTGACTAGGCCGCTCAGCGGTGGTACAGGAGCTGTGGCGACGGGACGTGACGTCTTCGTTCCCTCCTTCAGGGAACGAGGGTTACCATACATAACCGAGACGTTCTCTTTCAGTCAGCCACTCCCGACGTCACGTCGGATGACCGGCGAATTGAGATCCTACCAAAAAGCCACAGCTACTGCCCCTTCCAGTGTCCTGTGGAAGCCACCTGCGCCCCTAATTTTTGGCGTAGGCCAGGGCTTCACAAGACGACCAGCTACTGCTGCTATGGCACTACCCA